CCCCAAAACCCCAAAACCCCAAAACCCCAAAAAATACCCAAAATTGAACTGTCGCCAAGCCACCCCTAATCCCTCTTCTTCGTCTCTTAAGCCCCTTCCCCCACCTTCTGGCTGGCACTACTTTCTTCCCAATCCCCAGTCACCCAAAACCTCCAAAATCCCGTACAAATTCCTTCCTGAAACTTATCCTAGTTCAAGGTCAAGATCAGCATTCATCACTGCTGGCTTTGTGGATATATTTCTTCGGGATTTGTATGTGATGCCATTACTATTTCAAGAATTTTCTTTTGAGCCCATTTGGATGTTCCTACAGTCTCTTGATAGATTTAAATTTGTTCAATTGATATTAAGCTTTTGCTTCCTAGCTTTGATAGTTCTTTTAAATATCCTAGACGGTCTCATTTTACCCAGTCGCTTTCCACTCTTCTGGGATTTGTTTGAGGTTTGATGCTGAAATGATCCCTTCTCTCTCAATTTCTGGGGCAAACCTTGCTCTTTCAAGAACTTTTGCTGATGCTTCTGGCTCTTAGCAAAGGTTTTGGTGAACACTGGGTCTTCTCAGTTCTTTAATAAAAGTGTGCCAAATTTAGAATCCTTGTGTTGAATCGCTTTGGATTTCAATTTAGGTAAGTTATAATTGACATCTTTTGTTGTAAAGCTCTTATTTTGAGACACACAGGCTGATATATTAATCCTACTTTTAGCAGTTGAAATTCTAGTCTTAATACGCTTCACAACCTTTCCACCAGTCTTGGGCTGATTGATAGCAGCAGCTTGTTGAAGATAATTATTCACATGAGAAGTGCTGCTTCTATGTTTGCTATTATGCCTTCTAGGAGACTTCGATCAAATCTTGATCGAAGCATATCCCTTCAAGGCATGCTTAGAAGTAGAAATCATTGGTCTCTGGATCAGTCTTCCTCTTCTTGAGGAAGGGTTGTCATCAAGAATACTAAATAAGTGTATTTTTATTCTTCTCCTTGGGTCTGCGTAAGGGACTTATCTTGAGCTGGTTCTTTTTAGCCAGAACGCTGGAAATTCATTCTTGAAGGTATTTTATAAAGTCTATGTCTTTATTTTGCTGTTGAATTGATTCTCTTGTGAGTCTTGCGTTTGTTGATTTTTGTTAGTCTCAGAGCCTCGTTATAAGCCCAAAGGCATTGAGAGTATTGCTCTAGGTGTTCTAGCTCAGCACCGAGGTTGAAGAATCCTTTTGCTAAGGTATCAGCATATTCTATCATTGCTTGGCTTTGAGAATGAGAAATACTGTTGTTTTTGATCACATCTGAAGAGTCTGATTCTGGCTCAATGATACATTTTTGGAGTAATAAAATTCCGGTTTGAGCATGCTCAACAGCTTTACTTATGCTTTCCAAGAGTTGAAAGAGATGCTCAAAGATTAAATTTATCAATAGCTTTCTGATAAAGCTCTTTGTTAAGCTCTGTGCTCTTTTTGTAATGTTTCAAATTTTTGCTTTGTTGGATATATTTTTGGGGACTCTTACTCCTTCTCTTATTAAAAATCATAAATCTAAATAACCATTAACACCACCACTTCGACCTCCTCCAGCCCTCTTAAATCCCTCCATTAGAAGCTTACTTAGACTGCCCTTCAAGCATTTTATTTAAATTTACAAAAAAATCAATTTTTCATCTCCAAAATGGGGTTTTGGGGTTTTGGGGTTTTGGGGTTTTGGGGTTTTGGGG